TCACCTTATCATATCTTATCTCGAAAAAATAAGGATAAAAATCGGAACTTTTAATCAGTGCCGTCAAACATGATTTTCTTATAAAAAATCTGAACTGTATACTTCTTATCTAAAAAAATAAATTAAACAATAATATCTTCTCTCACCATATCATATCTTATCTCAAAAAGATAAGGCTAAAAATCTAAACTTATAATCCATGCCGTCAAACATGATTTGCTTATAAAAAATCTGAACTGTATATTTCTTATCCAAAAATTTAAATAAAATTATTTTTCACTATAAAATGTCGTCTCTCAGTACATACCATTCCACCATTACCATGCAAAATAACTCTCTCAAGTGTATATCAATTTCCTCTTAGTCTCTTGTGTCGACGGGAACCAACTACACAACTGACGAAGATAAACACCTATGTCAGCCATACATGGAAATTTCTCAAGATCCAGTGGTGGGAGTGAATCAAATTCGAGCTCAATTTTGGGATCGTGTCACCAACGAGTACAATTCCAAAAAACCAAATCCGATGTGGCCAGATCGTCCACAAAGATCAATTCAATGTCGCACGGGTATTATCAACACTGCTGTGAAGCTGTTCAAATCATGTGTGCAGCAAATTGAAAATGCTTACATCAGTGGAGCTTCCGAACATGATGTTGTAAGAAAATTTCATATAATTTAAGTATGTTTGAGAAATTAATAATCTCTTAATATTTTTTACTTTCATTGTGTAGATGGAGCGTGCAAAGATACTATTTATGCAGGACCCTAAAAATAGAACCAGTCAGCCATTCAAGTATGAGCGTGTGTGGACAATTATGAAAGACTCCGTGTTGTTCGAGTGTACGTCACAAAGGCGAAGTTCAACAATGTCTCAACACAGTGGGCTCCCAGAGTCCCCAATTTCACCTAATCCTGAGCTATCTAATTTTTCTATAAATTTAAGTGATGAAAATACTAGTGGCGGGACATCATCACAGCGGCCAGAAGGCGTTAAAAAATCAAAACTAAAGAGAAAAATAGGAGATGATGATTCTGTTGTAGTGAAGACAATAAAGGAAGAAAATGAGTAATTTCGAGAATTAATAATTACTTCAGCCGCGAAAAGAGATCACGACAGTGAAATAATAAGGCAAAAACTTGAAATTCAAAGACAAAGAAATGAGTTACGAAAACAAATGGTCGAGACCACCACATGGACAGAAGAAAACAAAATTTTAATGATGGATTTGGATTCCATACAAGATAGTCGTCGACGTGAATATTTTACTCGGGAGCAAGAAAGAATTTTACGTAAAAGAGAAGAACAATCTTCACAGACACCACAAGTTAACCCTTCTGATGTTTTTGGTGAATATTTTCAAGATCTTGGCGGATCTGGTAGTGGTTTGGGAGACTACTATAACTGTTATTTTAAATTAATTATGCGTAATTTTCATGTTATTTAATTTATGTTATGCAATTATGTTTTGAATTATATATTTTGTTGTTGTGTTGTATCTCTTAATTTTATTAAAAATTGTATTTTTTATTTTATTTTTTAATTTTTAATTGATTATAACAGTTAAAGATAAATAAATTTTAAAAGACAAAATTTAATAACAAATTAAATGAATTAAGTTAATTTATTTAATAAAATAACAAATTAAACACATTACATTAAAGTAAAAAAAAATAATAATAATATGAAGTTGCGTGAACAGTGCCGCGCTATATGTAGCGCGACACTGTATATATCTGTATTGTGGAGCAATATGTGGCGCAGTGCTGGAGACCACATCCAGCACAACTTTAGCGCAATTCCATCTTCTAGCGCACTGCTGGAGATCGCCTAAATAAGACAAATATATTTATATTATCTTGTATAATCAAATTGAACTTATTTTAATACATTGTAATAGTGAAATAGACTTCACTTGGTCCTGATTCGGACTAGTATGATAAGGGAATCGCATCCTCGATCTCAACAGCTTTTTATTCGACTTCGAATAGCTTTCGCACCTGCAAGAACTCAACACCAGAAAGGGAATTTTTCAGTGAATACCTTTCGATGCTTAAGTCAGTATTACACTGGGATAATGAAATGTAAGTATATGAAAGTGTGTAGAAAAAGTAACCCAAAAACCACCCTACCACATCCCTTTATATAGGGATGTGGTGTCTTGTTTTTCAAGTCTGCTTGGAGTGTTGATCCAGTTGCCCCTGTTGACCATTCGTACGACCTGCAACGCCTGCGGTGCCTCAGATGTCAGGTGTTAGGGGTGCAAATGACCCAGTATAACCGCTACACGTGGTCCAATGTCCACATAGCGTAGCTTCCCAAGTAGAGACCCATTTGTCCTCATGTGAGACACAATCCACGTCACCAGGTCGAATTCTCGTTTGAGTAGATTGTGGCTTCTTCAGCCCATCTATCTGTTAGATAGAACGTGGTCGATTCGACCTCTTGGTCTTTCAAGACCAGGTCAAAGGTCGGTTCGGCTATCGTCTTCCACGTCGAAGTGAATCGGGTTGTTTCATTAATCCGACCTAGTTGCTTGGTTCCCTTGAGTGATTTGAGTCGGCACTATATCCTATATCACATTGAAATATGATTGGAAAGTTTTAGATGACCAAACACGATCCACCAATGTGGGAGCGAAAATTTAACTTATTATGTACTCGAGAAAATGAAATATATTAGTCATATATTTATTTTCATCTTAACCATTCACATCATGCCACATCATGTTGTCATGAGATGTTGTATACAAAAATTGTACAGATAGTTTTTTCCTTGGTGATTTAATTTTCTGTAGTACATAACAAGTTGAATTTTCGTTCCACATTGGTGGATCGTGTTTGGTCATCTAAAAGTTTTCAATCATATTTAGATTTATTAAAGGAATTCAAATTAATAGTACAAAATAATATAAATACAGTTTCGTATTAGTAGCTCTTGAAATGGACTGTGAAAGTGATATTTATTGAAAACTTAAGATTTACCATCACGACGTTAGATAAACGTAAAAACTGTTTGACCATAGAATCACCAAATCCAGTTATCCAATTCACAAAAAAAAAAATGTAATTCTAACATAATATCTTATTAAATATGCATATATACATAAGATAGGATAAATATGCATTTTTATCTGTGGTGAGCCTAAGTGGTAGGCTCGCATATTTCGAGATTCTATATAGTAAAATTAAATGCTTCATTTGTTAGGCTTGAGTATATTTTAATTTACTTCAAATTTAAGAAAAATTAGGTCCGGATTATCCATAAATATGTTGATTGTTTGTGATCATGTTACATGTATTAATTGCATTTAAATATAATTTCTTATTATAAACATTGAATGTAAATGTATTTAAAAGTTAATAACTTTTGTATTTTTTAACAGTTTTACATATACAATACATCAAATTAATCATCTCTTGATGAACTTCGATTTAACATCCATATTGTATGTATAAAAAATATAAATTATATTTATTTATAACAATAATAAAATTGTTTTTTAATATTAATTAGAAAAATAAAATATTTCAAGTAGTTATATGATATAAGCTATAAAAAATACTATAATATAACACATGTAAGTCGCACGAGTAACAATTGTCATTATAAAATATATAATAATATGTACTTTTTTGTAAACAAAGTAAATAAACTTTAAAATAATTTTTATCATTAATTTTTAATTTAAAAATAATTTTTTAACAAGAATCCGCTAATATATTGGTACTAGTACAACACCCGTGTATTACACGGGTGCTTGTTAAACTTTTTTCTAAAATTTTAAAATTAATGAGAAAATTATATTAAATTTAGTTTATTTTTTTACAAAAAAAATATATTACTATATATTTTAGAATGATATGTGTTACTTATGACTTACATGTGTTATATTATATTAGTTTTTATAACTTATATCATATAACTACTTGAAATATAAATATATTAGTTGATAAATAATTTTATTTTTCTAATTAATATTAAAAATAATTTTATTTTTGTTATATAGATAAATATAAATTATTTTTTTATACATACAATATGGATGTTAAATCGAAGCTAATCAAAAGAAGATTAATTTGATATATCCCCTTATATATTAATACAGAATGCGTTGAGCCTACGTGGCTGCTTCTGGTGCTTCGCAATCCTATATGGCAAAATTACATGCTTCGTTATTAGGCTTGGGTAAATTTTAATTTAATTCCAAACTAAAAATAATTAGGTTCAGATTACCATAAATATATTGATTATTTATGGTCATGTTACATGTGTTAATTGTATTTTAATATCATTCCTTATTATAACTATTGAATTGTATATATATTTTAAAAGTTAATAACTTTTGTATTTTTTATCAGTTTTACATATGTAAGATATCAAATTAATCTTCTTTTGATAAGCTTCGATTTAACATCTATATTGTATGTATAAAAAAAATAATTTATATTTATCTTTATAACAATAATAAAATTATTTTTAATATTCATTAGAAAAATAAAATTATTTATCAACTAATATATTTATATTTCAAGTAGTTACATGATATAAGTTATAAAAAATAATATAATATAACACATGTAAGTCATAAGTAACACATATCATTCTAAAATATATAGTAATATATTTTTTTTTTTGTAAAAAAGTAAACTAAATTTAATATAATTTTCTCATTAATTTTAAAATTTAAGAATAATTTTTTAACAAGCACCCGTGTAATACACGGGTATTGTACTAGTTACATATGTAAAACTGATAAAAAATACAAAAGTTATTAATTTTTAAAATATATATACAATTCAATAGTTATAATAAGGAATGATATTAAAATGCAATTAATACATGTAACATTACTATAAATAATCTACATATTTATGGTAATCCGAACCTAATTATTTTTTGTTTGGAATTAAATTAAAATTTACCCAAACCTAATAACGAAACATGTAATTTTGCCACATAAGATTCCGAAGCACCAGAAACAACCACGTGGGCTCAGCACGTTCTGAATTAATATATAGGAAGGAGAAGGATTGTATATCTAACGGTATTGTCTCAAAAAAAAAAAAATGTGACCGTAATAAATCCAAAGGGTAAAAAAGAGAAAATACAACAATTACCATGGGCAAAAATGTAAAAGTGGGAACACCTCTATTTAAACCCAGCATCTAAACCTAAACCCTTTTCAACGATCCATTAGCCATAAAATTGAGGCCACAGAGAGCTCGGGATTTTCTGAGGGCGGTTGCCCATCTCCGGCAGCCGGTGAAATTTTTCCACTGAAAAATCAACAGCCCTTCTGTTTTCCGACGAGGATAAACCTGGAAATATATATATATATAATAATAATAATAAAAGCAATAATAGTAATGTTCTTGATTAAGTTTCTGGTAGATCTCTTGTGTTACGAGAGATCAAAAATCAGGTGGCGATTGGATAGTGATTTATTGTTGTTTTCGGATCTTGATGGATTTGCGGGTTACGGTTTTCTGAGGCTGTGACGATACTTGATTGGGGCTAATGGATCGGGCAGAGAAAAACCCGACCCGTATCTTGGCGGGGCAGGCCGGACGGCGTTGTGGTCTGACCGCATCGCAACCGGTTGTTATTGCAGCCATGGCGGTGTTGCTTTTTCTTTG